AGTTATACTTTTTTTTAGTTGTTTTTGTTTCAATAGTAAACACACCTCAGACAAATAAAAATGAATAATTCCAATGCCAATGTTGAAAACATGCTTTTACTCACTGGTTGTCAGAACCCATACAGAATGACTGCATTTGCCCTAATTAATGGCCCATTTTCAGGAGAGGCTTTAATTAACAGCTGACATTTAAGCAGCACTACAATGTGCTGTGCAATTATCACCTGGCCTACTTCTGTGTGATCCAAATGCTCTTGAAAAAAAGGCAGGATGCCTTTTTTTTTCTGAAAGTTTTACAGCACAGAGTGGAAACACAGAACTGAGGAAGAGGGAGGAAACACAGCCAGATCTTCAAGGGGATTTAGGGTGGAGTTTTCCAGTACCATTAGCCAGACCCAGTGACTGGCTGCCTCTTCAAAAGCGGGGCAGGTACTCATGCATCTCTCAGCTTTGCCCTGGGCCACATATTTTTAACCCACTCCCTCTCCTCAAACTGGCAATGCCCTGAGCACCATGGAGAGTCATGAACAGACTACAACCGAGCCTGCTGGTGAACTGGGATGGCCTTTCTCCTATCCGTCTTGTTTTCCCTGTTTTGCGTCCTTGAGGGTCACCTGGTAGCAAGCCAGACTGTTTTAGCTCCTTAGCCCTGGAATCAAAACCAAACTAGTTGTGCTTAAGCTCAACACAATGAGCTTAACTGGCTCACTGTGCAGTCACCCTTAGCCCTCACTCCTAAGAAGGGGCAGGAAGAAGTGTAGGATCACTACCCCACAGTGGAGATGAGCTTGTATTTTAAGCTGTACTGTAAATAGAGCAGTCTTGTGAAATCAAATCTTATCTTGTGTAGGAAGGTGAATCACACATGAGAATATTTTTGTACTGTGTACATTTCCTTCCAGAAAATTCATCAAATAACAAATAACAGTGCTGCTAAAGGGAAAGGTGGTAGCATGTGGCATGGGCCTGGTGGTCCTTTTGGCTGGGCTGAGCCCACTCTTCCAGAGGTGAGCTGTAACCAGAGGACTTTACAAATAAAGAACATGTTTTACCCTACCTATTCAAACTGTTCTATATGGCATGCAATAATCAAGTAGCTATTAATGTTTAAGTACAGCAGTATTTGCTGGGTCACTGAGAGCATGACCAAACACCCAGCTTTGGTAATGTGGCAATGCCGAACCTCTTTCCTGCTCTCCAGCCTGATGAGTACTTCATTATACTATACAAAGTGAAACACCTTTTGGCATGGGAGCCTGGGCTCCTTCCCCTCACCTTTTCCAGCATATACTGCAGCCTGATGACCTGACCACCTTCCCCATAGTAATTAGCTGCTTTGCTTGGATAGAAAAGAGCATTTACCCTGCCCGGATGACACACCACTTCCTATGCTGGGCTACAGAGGTGCATATTTCTTTGCCTCTTCTTCCAGCCATGTCTTAGTGGAGCCCAGGGTCAGCTCTGCTGGTTCTCTCCAGGCCCAACACAGAGAACATAAAATAAACATATCATGGTAAGATGGGTATGAGCTACCTGGGAATAGCTGAGCCCTTTGTGGACATTTCTAAAGGCCAAATATTATGTGGGAAATAACCCCAGTCCCATGTGCTGGTAGCTTTGATTCAGGAGGTGGATGGGAAGAAGAATGCCTGATGAGGTTGCAGTCCTGCGGTACACACAGTGAATACCCTGTCCCCAGCCAGCTCCTGCCTAATGAAATCACACCAAATTTAACTTGGCATGCAGGGCTGCATTTAGAAAGTTGAAGCAGCTCAGGGGTATTTCACATATCTGCAGTGGGGACAGGAGAGACAACTGGGGTGGCAGTCTTGTTAGTCAGCCTTATATAAATTGTCTCTTCCCATGAATTAAAGCTGCCAGGCACTGACAGGGTTTGGGAGCCTCCAGGGCTAGCCTATCAGGAAAAACAGAATATCATGATTTTGTAACCAGAAATCTAAATTTTAGAAAGATTTCAGAAATTTAGAAATAGAATGCTGGTATCTGCAACTTTTTCCGTACATCTAGTCTTTGGAGTATGCATTAGGCCACCCTTTAACCTGTCACATTTCCACACAGGGCTGATTATGTTTGCCTCCAAAAAATCACAGTCAAGGGACTTTTTATGAACTGACTGTGGGGTTATGTGTTGGTTAGTATCCAATAATCCCTGAGATTTAAGCCTGGACCTGTCATCAGTTTGTTCCATGTCTCTGAAAGGAGTTTGTAAAAATAGAGCCAGGGAGCTCTGCGTCTATCGGAACTCAATATTTCAGTCTGGCAGCTTTGGATCCAAGAGTGAAGTGTTGCTCTTTCAGCCAGTATACAGCCGTCAGCTTCTGGGTCACAGATAGAGAATGGGAATGTGCTAAATAATTCAGGTGGTGACCTGACTCTCCTAGGGCAGAACTGCTTTAGCAATGCAAGGAGAAAGTGTTATTGAAATAAGTGGGATTATTTGTATTAATAAGGACAAGAAACTTTGTGGGATTGTGGGTTGTTTTGTTGGTTTTGGGGTGTTTGTTTTTTTGTTTGTTCTTTTTTTCTTATTGTACAGCCAAAGATGCAGGAAGTAGTGTCATCGTCCTGCTGGAAGTTACAATACGTAAGAAGTCTTTAGTGTCTGTTTTCAAACAGGAACCAATTCATCTGCAATTTTCCTACAGACCCCATTTTGCATTCTGAGTATACCCTATTTCTAATCATCACATTGCATATGACACAATGCAATAAAAGCAAAAGTGAGGCAAACTGTTTATGGAACTGTAGGTCAGGTTTGTGCTGCTTCTGTTAAGTACTGCTAGGTGGCAATGTGTTACCTAAAAAACCATCCTCTGCTTCAGGCGTTGCTGGCATGTGTCTGGGCATTGCTCAGCTCCAAAAGCGGAGGAGGCCTTGGAGCAGGATCTGCTGAGAGCTGTTTCACTCACACAGATTTCTAACTCAGTACTGAGGTTTCCCAGAAACAAATGCAAGGATGAATCCTACTGGAAAAACATCTCTCCTTTGTCAACACAAGAAGAAAAACATGAGGCAAGCCTGCCTATGGTAATATTTCTGTTTACACCAGGGGTGTTGTTATAAGGGAATAAATCCTTCTGTTGCATGAAGATAATGCCACATGGGACTATAATATGTAATATTCTTACAGGATTAACAATACAAAACTGAAAATATTTATTCAGAGTGCAAAGATTTTGTTTTTCTAAACATATGAGTAGTTGAACTCTTCTACATGTTCAATCATAATGTTTAATCAACGAGACCAACTTCAGGATATTTGTATTGACAGTTGGGTTGAAAAACATCTTTAATAAAGGCGGGGAAGATATATTTCCAGATACATCTTTCAGCCATGCTACAAATACCTAAAACTGAGTTATCTTATGTATATGTATTAAGAAGGACACAGTAATAAAGACTGGCTTATATTTGCATATTGCTTTGAATACGCAAGTGATCTGCATTGAAACAAGAATTTTATTTCCCTCTATCTGGCACCTGGTGTGGTGGCATATGTTCTTCCAAGGAGGGAAACCAATTGCCAGGAAAAGGGTAGAGACGGCAGGGTTCTGTGGGATGGTGACGTTTTAAGCCAGCTATACGTTTACATAAAATTGCAGCTAAGGATTACTCCCTTGTGATGCTGGGGTAGTTTGCAGCTGGCTCGGTGCTTCAGTCCAGTGTGTGTGCAAGAGATTGGCACACACTGGAGTATGTGGGAGCACGTCTGCTAGTAAGGACTTACACTTGGGCTGACCGGGAAAACAGATGTAAATTGATTCGGAGAAAACTCCAGGAACAAACTTGCCAGCAGAGTTTCAAGTTGACAAGCAGGTATTCTTTATTGCGGCGCCGGGAGACACGGGGATAGCTCCTCCTAACGTGTGTCCCCGAATTGCTCTACAGGTCATTCTTATATGGTCACTGAGCATATTACATTATTTTCCAAAACGTTTCCGGCATGCATATAAAAATGTGGTGGTCTTTAAAGGTCTTTTACTTTTCCCAACAAGCTTAATTAACATTACAGACATAGCAATCATCCTGGCCTCCTACTTATCAGTTAGTTTAACTGCTCTCATCCCGGACATCTGCTAGTCCAGGATACTCCCTAGTAGATGCTTACACCAGTTTAATGGGTTTATTAACACTCCAAGCATAGCAATCATCCTGTCCTTTTACTTATCAGTTAGTTTATCTGTGCCCACCCTGGGCATCTGCTAGTCCCAGATACTCCCCATCCCCAGGTCCTGTCCTTCTATTCTGCTTTTCTCACACCTTTTGTACTGAGGTCCTGAAACTATGTCAACTACCTTCAAGCACCGCAGTTATTTTCCATTACAAAGCCATCAAACTTAATGTTACTTAGAACTGATTACATTTTGTACTTTTGTACCTCCTTGCTTCAAAGTGAATCTGGGGAGCCTGAGTCTCTCAATACAGAAGCATAGGTAGGGCATTAATGCTTCTCCTGACAGCGTCATCACGGAAAGCAAACGGGGCTGGAGGTTAGCGAGCATGTACTTCACTCTAGGCTGTATTGCCCTGGCAGAGGTGCATAGCCCAGCCTGAGCTACGTGTGGACATTCTTCTGGGATGCTGGACAAATAACTGTCTTTAATTACACTGGCTTGAATAGAAATACTGGGCTTTTTTTTTAGCAATGCAGGCTGCAGGTTCAGGAAACCAAAAATAATATTGAACTGCTCGTGTGCTATTTAACAACCAGGGAAGCTAGCATGCATCTGCACCTTCTGCTGCAAAACTGCTTTAAATTTAGGCTGAATTTTCAGTCCCAGAGGTCACAAGTAGATGTGGCATGGAGCAGAAGGCAGCACAGCTCAGGACGCTCAGCTGCGGGCCCCGAGTCTGCCTGAAGCTCGCAGAGGCTCAGTTTAATCTCCTTTGCTTCCCACGGGCCTCCCTCGGCACCCGCTGTTCCCCAGGCCAGGTGAGCTGCAGGCCCTCCTCAGAGGCCTAGCCCCTTCCTGCCCCGGCGCTGAGCCGGATCCCGGCACCCCGGCCCGGCCGGCGCGGCGGCAGTTCCCGGAAGGGCTGCTTTCCCCGCTGCACCGCCCGCCGGTGCCCGCCCAGCGCCGGGAAGGGGAATAGTGGGGCCAGGTCAGTGCCTAGCCGTGGGCTTCTGCTTGCCTCCGGCCAGCTGGGGGCCTGTGGCGCTCGGGGACTGCCCCTGGCGGCCCGCCGGACCGCAGGGCGAAGGGACGAGGGTCTGTGTCGAGCGGGTTGCTGAGGTGGCTCGGGTCCTCTGCAGGGCCTCGGACTAGCAGTGGGGAAGAGGAGAAGCAGGATTTGGCTGAGAAGTGGGCGGACGGGAGGGAGGCGTGGTGAGGCGCGGACCCTTCGGTGCCGCTGGGTGCCTGGGTCGGAGGCGGGGCGGTCTCGCCGGTGCTGCTTCTGCCTGAAAATGTTAGGCGCTGCTACCTCTCAGCACTTGCTCGGCTTCAGCCCTGAGGCCAGCCACTTATCCCTGCCTTGGGCCCTTCTCACTGTGGAGCCCATCCATGCTGGTTGATATGTATATGTGTGTGTATATATTTATTTATTTGTTTGTGTGTTTGTTTTTAACAGGCCATGCCAGAAATGCTTGCCTAGGTAAGACCAGGTGCTGCAGTGTACTTCTCATGATTTTGGCATTGCACAAGGTCAGCAGCAAGAAGCCTCTGCTGGGGAATCACAGAACACCAGGTTGGAAGGGACCTCAAGGATCATCTGGTCCAACCTTTATAGGCAGAGCATGACCTAGACTACATGTCCTAGCACCTTGTCCAGTTGAGTCTTAAACATGTCCAGTGTTGGGGAATCCACCACTTCCCTAGGGAGATTATTCCAATGGCTGACTGTTCTCATTGTGCAAAATTTTCCTTTGGCGTCCAGTCAGAATCTCCCCAGGAGTAACTTGTGCCTGTTACCCCGTATCTTTTCCATATGACTCCTTGTAAAAAGGGAGTCTTCATGTTCTTTGTAGCCATCCTTTAAATACTGACAGGATTTTCACCCTCTCTTCCCCTCAAGTTTTTGCGTTATTCCCAAAGTGACACTGTGCAGGATGCCTTTGTTTCCTGAAATGTAGTGTGTAGAACTGAGAATCAAGTGACGTGCTGACATGGTGTGCTTCTGTTACTTGCTAGTGCTGTACAGGGGAGCAGGAGGTATACTCCTGAGAATCACATGGCCAGTTCTGTTACCAGAATGCAGTTTCGTTGATGCTTTCATCAGGAGCATTTACTGGTGCTGGTAAGGAGAACAGTAGTAAAAGGGTACTAAAAGGAATTCAGAGCACTGCTCAACTATAGAACTTTTACAGTCTTCAAGGCAAATCAATCCTTGGGAAAGCATCAGTATTTGCGATTACGTCTAGCATGAATTGATCCTTATGATTTTGGGGATTTGGTGACTAAAAAGCAAATGGGGAGTTGGCTGTGGTAGTTTCCATTCCTGTGAAGTAGCACATCGGTTCATTTTAAAGGTGTCTGAAATACACCTAGCGGGCAGTGAACTTTATGTGAAAGTGTTTTCTGTCACTGTTACAGGGGACCCTTTGCTGACAGAGGCAGAGAACCTCTTTAGATCAAAGCATTAAAAAATAGAGGGCCCATGTGCTTCTTGCAGAAGTTAACAGATTCTTGCTCTCACCCTCTGCTGTGAAACTCAAGAAACTCGAGATCTTGTACTCACCATGTAACCACAATCAAAGGTGGTGTCATGTATTTATGGAAAGACTTCCTTTGTCAGCTGTTTTACATACTTGAATACTATTATTTTTCACTGGACTTGGGTATGTTTCTGTGTGATGCTTTCACTAGGTCTTCAACATAATTAAAATGTGTTTAAAAGAGAACATAATTGGTTGGGAACAGAGAAACAACTCACATCTTAACCTTAGCCTGCAGGGACCATTAAAAGATACAAAACTTAACAAAGAACAAATAATTTGGAAAACACATAGCTTGCTATACCCAGAATTGACATGCTCAGAAATGAGGAGAAAAACAAAGGAGAAAAAGAGAGAGAGAGAAAAGCAGAAAAGAGATGTAAAGTGTAAGCCAGCTTAAAACTGGAACTGCAGATGAGAGATTTTTTTACTTATAATGTTAAAAGGTTTTTTTACATTATTTTTATTTCACATGTGCATGATTTGAAGCCATTTCAATTAGTCAATTTGCATATCTTCTCACTTCTTGTTCTCTCGGCATCCGGACAGGTAACCGTTGTTTCTAATGATGACATAGAGAAAATAGGAGGCCCAACCTTTTTGTTCTCAACAGAAATACAGAGGCTAAAAACCTGCCCCATATAATACCAGCTACTTCTAAAACCTGTTTTTAGATTAGTTACAAAGTTCTTTAAGTATCTTAATACTGAACTAGAAGGACTATTGATCCTACTTAATTTTTCCCCAGTGCAGGTCCCAGAAACAACGTACTAAAAATTTGAACAGGATTCAGAAGTTTGAAAGCCACAGAATCTTGGGAAAGGCATGAGCCTGAGGCAGCTCCTCTTGAACTCGGTACAAGTTCCTGCTTTGTGTAGTCATGCCATACAGGATGTGCATTTTCTGTCTGGAGGAGGCAGAATTTTCCAAGCTTTGATTAGTTTCTGTATTTGTAAGTTACCTTTTGTCAGCAGGTTTTATGCTGATGATCCCTCATCATGCTTAAGATCTGCTCACTGCTTTCTTCCAAATGAAGGAAAGCCAGCTGGAGAGGTGATTGCCCTTATATTGCTTCAGCTGGTAATTATAAGAGTGGGAAGAACCTGTCAGATAAGATGTTTAAGTCAACCTAAGCCACAAGTAACTGAAGGGAAGAAAAGAGATGCATAAGCAGATGAGGTAGATGGAGGGTTCTGAAACCTTCAGTTGAGGAGTGGTGACAAGCAGCCTGTTCAGCCAGTGCTGGAGAGGAACCCTGCAGCTGAGGCCTCCCTCCTACACCTTTCTTGTGTCTGAAGACAGGGTCCAGTGACTCCTCTTCCCTATGAGATCTGTACTTTTGATTTGCATCCAGGCCAGTCCCCTTTGATCTTCCTGTTTCTGAATTCTTTCTATGTTGAACGCTGGCGTTTATTCCTCCTCTCCCCATCATCCACAAGCCCACTTTCCCAGGTTCCAGTCAGTTGGTGTTAATAGTTTTCACTAATTTTCAATATTTTTTTTTTTGTGTGTGTGTGTATAGATGTACTATTTTCATGTTTTAGTTATATTTCTCCTTCACTGCCCTTTCACTTGTTTTCATGTTACGGGGTCAGTAGTGCCAGTCCTCTGCACTGGGTCACCACTTGCTTTCCATTTATTAGTCAGTCACTGCAGGAACCTGATGAAGTCACAGTGACTGTCACTGCTTTCTAGTACAGATGAATGCCTCCCACAGTGACTGCTAGGATACCCACACAGATCTGAACTGTGAATCATCATCTTCGGTTCATGTCTTCTATCCCTTTCTCCATAGCCTGTTTCACAATTTTGTGCTTGTCACTGGAGTTGCAGCTCCTGGAGGTCTTTATCAGATCAAGTTCTCTTGTACTTGAGTCATCAGCTGCCCTTGATGCCTTTGCCAGTGTCACAGAAATGCCTTTCTAATTGCTTTTTTTTTTTTGTTGTGGTTATGTCATTTCATTATTTTTCTGCTTCCTGAGATTTCTTTTGTGGATTTAGTATGTTGGATCCCTTTATTTCTGCTACACTTTATCTCAACATACCTTAATCCAAACCCAGTAATTCAGTTGATCTATTTTTTGTGTGTGCTGGTGACTCACAATCTGCACATCACACCTTTCACTTCCTGTCATGTGTGAAAGGGTACTCTTATTTTCCTGATGTATTGAAAGCACATACCTGCATCTTTTGTCCCCATTTTCTTTTTCTCCTCACTGGTGTCAGTAATTCAGGCCCTGTCTTTGAGTTGAAATTTTTGCTGCTCATATATTTTAACTTGCTGATTATTTTTGTGTAGCTGCTCTGTAGTGCAGCATTTCTTGTTTGTGCATGCACCTCAAATGCTCATTTGGGCACCAAGTGTCCAGTTCTCGGGTTTGTCTTTGTTCTTCTACCCATCCAGGAAGTTGGCAACCTACATTCCTTACACTTTGCTCTGGCCGGCTATCTTAATGTTTTTCTCCTAGTTGCAACTGGCAACACTGCTGGTGTTGCTGTTTGATACAGTGTGTTTTAAAAGTAAAAGCTGGGGTTGCAACAAAGTAGTGGTGAATGACAAGAGGAAATACCCATGTTCAATAGTTGAGGCTTAATAGTTTTTCAAAGAATCTGCTCAGGAAATATTGCTGCTGTTAATTTAATAAGAATAAATATTAATTATTATAAATTAATATTATTAATAAGAATATAATCATTATTATTTTATTAACATTGTGAGAGGTGAAGTTTAACAGCAGTCACCAGAGGCTTTCAGAAGGACTGATACATATACGTACACAAAAATACATATATTGTGTGTGTGTCTGCATGTAAATACATATATTACTCTTGAATAATGTGTGTCATTCCTTTGATACTGAAGTGTTGACATGTGGTATGTGTTCCTATTAACTGAAGCGTTGACATGTGATACGTGCTCATGTTAATTCACAGTCTGCTAGCCCACAGGCATGGGTGTTATAAAATCACTTGAGTGCCAAATGGGACTTAAACTTTTGTTTTATGTAAGAAGTACAATAATTGCAGAATGGAAGGCTATTGGTGTCCATACTATCAGCTATCTCTTGGTTGTCACCAGTGACATGTAAAGCTTTAGCACTGAAAACATTTGAAAGATGTTAATTGCCCACAGTGTTTGTTATTCCAAAGCTATTCCTATGCTGATTTTGTTTTTCACTATAAAAACTGTGCATAAACTGTGATACAGATGTTAACAGGTATAGCATGTCTGACTTTTTAAAATTAGACTAAAACTTAATTTCTGTAAGTGTATCTAAATAGACATCATTATGTTAAAAGTGAAAATCTGAAAGCTTTAGTGTAATAAATATCTCTTAGCATATCCTACAAGATTGTGTGGGTTACTGCAACAGCCCTCTCTTGCACTGCTTTCACTTACAGTACAAAACGTCAGTCTCAGTCATGCTGTGGATTGTGAGTGCTCCATACTGATTAGAATTTAGGATGTTGTTTGCCAGAGATCAGTAGAAATCCCTTTAGTTTGTGAGAGCTGTAGCAAAAATATCATGCTTTTCCCTAGTGGTTAACTTCCTCTGACTGAGCTGTTTAAATTCTTGGTTTTATTTTAAAATGTACTGGGTACTGACTGGTACTGTAAGAGATGGGTTTAAGAAAATAATTCAATGATAATACTTTGCATGAGTCATTAATCGTGAGTCATGATCAGCAGGCAGTGGTGTCCAATTTGTTTTCTAATCCTGCAGTTGCTGCTGCTCTTTATTACCATAGTGATAATATTAAAGAGCTGTTAATGCATATAACCACGCAGCTGAAAATGACAGACACTTTTTTCAGTGGAATAAAATTTTCGTATCTTAAGTTTGGTTTGCTCTGTACATTTTTATTTTCTTCTTTTATTTATTTATTTTTTTTTTGACATGGGAAATCTAGGTATCATAAAGGTCATCAAACGAGTATAATTTGGCAAGGAGGTTAACAGAACAGACTTTCCGCCCCCTCCCTTGGTTTTCAAGCCAATCGTTGTGCCTTCCTAGAGAATTAAATCCAGTCTGTCTGTCTATAAGGACTGTGGAGGCTTTGTATTCATTAAAACTTGGAAGTTAATTGTTCAAGCTGTGCTTTGCACAGTTTTATTGCATGAATGTATATTAGGGAATGACTACTGAGGTTTATAGAAGATGGAAAGCAGTTTCTCTTCTGAGAGCCTGACTATAAAAAGAATCATTTAGCTGAGAAATGCACTCTGGAAACCTGTTTTCACTTTTAAAAAAAAATTTACCAAGATAAGTGATTTTAAAAGCTCTGAAAGGTGATGGCTGAAGTGTTGCAGACAATATTAGAATGTGCATAGGTTGTGAGTGTTGGGCTGATATTCTTTACAAAGCAATGAATCTTGTATTAAATTAGATTTTAACATGATTAAATTTTAATTAGTTGTATTAATTTACACTTTAGAGTAGAAAAGTTGATTCAGACCGATTAAAACCTTGAATTTAGTAAGGAACTCGGAAGACCCTTCAAAGTATCTGAGCAGATGGTAAAAATTGATCCTTTTACCTATTCCAGTGTGTATGACTTTATAATGCAGAGATTCATATAGGCCTTACTAGTTTCTTTTTGTTGAACTTGTGCAGTCATGCTGGTGGATGCAAAGTGGCGGGACAGGTATGAATCTACTGGCATAGATGGTTCTTTGAAATCAGCTGGTGCAATGTGTACTCATCTGCATCCCAGAATGTGGTTGCTGTGTAAACTCCTGCTACATTTCAATGAGGATTATACCTGCCCCGACAGAAGCATTTTCCACTTTAGTGTAGGATGGTACAGCCAGGGACAAGATAAGTGTTCACCTAAAAGGTTTGTTCACTTCTTTCATTATGAACTAATTGTATGTGGGTTTTTTTCATGTGTGTGTGCGCTTTTTCATGTGTATATAATAATTGTTTTAAGATTTCTAAGTCAAGCATAAAAGAACGTAGCATAAAATATAGTTGTCACTAAATTTTGTCTCACTGAATATGTTTGTGTTCTGGGTTCACCTTGGGAAAACTTTCCATGAGCTTCTTGCCAATTTTTAAAGAGTCTTGTTTCTACCAAATACAGGTGTAAAGTAAAAGTGGTCCCAGTTCTCAAGAAAAAAAAAAAAAAATAACATCTACCATATCTTCTGGTCTGCTGTATCCATTAAAAAGGTGGCTGGGGCAAAGCTAGGACTAGTCTAGCAAATCGCAAGATTTATATATAAAAAAAACCTCTTTCCATGTCCTGTGGGGATTTTGATTCCCACTCCAAGAGGCTTCTAGGATTACTTCTTTTTCAGACCAGCTATCTCTAGTTCAGGCTTTACCCCATTTTTTTCAAATCACTTGTAAGCTACTTTCTTTAATACACCTCTTTCCAAAGTAAATAAAATAAGGCTGAGCCACAGATCAAGAATAATATTTGATGACTTCTGTGTTTTTTTGCTAATACACTCTACAATGTAGAGTGGAAATAGCAGAGGAATAAGCCATGGCTGTACTGGTACATAGAAATAGTTCACCACTATTATGTACTTATATAAAAGACGGGTGTGATGCTATATATATATAATACTGTTGTATGCTTTTCCTCCCTTGAAGTACTGCACAGGTTCTGGTGCTCTGTGTCCAAGAAAGGCCACTTCAAAGTGCTACTGAAATGACTCAGAAAAGCATATAGCTACCAGGGCTATTCAGACTAACTAGGTTTAAGATGGAGTGTGATAAATGTGTTAATGGAATTAGGTGACAGGGGATGGACCTCAGTGTAAGAATGGTCTTCAGTTCTTAATTTGTGTGTTCCTCAAGTATTTCTCTCAGGAAGGTTTTGCTGTAATAGTTGCTAACTGAGAAACAGGAGATCCAGATCCTGAAAACTAGAGGTTTTGATATAATTATTCCTCCAGCATAGGTGTGAGTTTGGAAGTTTGGGTGGTTTGGGTTTTTTTTTTGGTGTGGGGGGGGTGAGAGTTTTTGGAAGATTAGTACAAAGTCGGTCTAATGGAATACATAAGAATTTTACTACAGTTCTTGAGTCTTTTGAGTTCTGCACACAAATACTTTTGGGTAATTTTTACAATAAAGTATTTTAAATAGTATAATTAAATAATTTTTACAAGAAAATATTTTAAAAGATGCTAATTTCTGACTAAACTAATAAAATCACTTCATAAATCTTCTATTAACTTTGTGGAGTAATTCAGACTAAGAATTTTGCAAATACAGTCTGCAGTGATTTGTGTAGGCTTCTATGATTTCATCACCTTTACATTAACTTCCCTCTCTGTCAGAAGACTGAAGTGGATTTCAAATATTTAACCCCTCCTTGTTTCCAGAAATGGTCATTTTTATGTGGAAGAATTTACTTCAAACTACAAAAGAAAGGATACTCCAGCAGAGAAGGATGTCAGTGTATAGCCAGACTCATGGCTATCAGGAAGAACTGATAAAGAAGAAACTTCAGCAGTTTGCTGGTGGATCCATCAATCTTACCAAAGAAGACAATGGCATTGGAATACTTACTTTGAACAACCCGAAGCTAATGAATGCATTTACAGGTATTAAATAGTTAATGGGGGTGCTGGTTTGGTCTGGGTTTTTTTTTTTGTCTTTCAGTTACCCATTTTAGCATTTTGCCTAAACAAAATGAAAAGCTGTGCGTTACTATTCCTTAACTGAAAGAAGAAATGTTTAAGTTTTATCCGGATGTGCAGCAAATGCCCACTGTTCTGCATAGTAGCTTTGCCATATGAATATAAGAAATTCTCAACAATACAGGGACAGTCTGGTAGAACATTTTTTTTCAGTCAGTACAATTCTGCTACTGTGCCCTTTCTTGTATCTCATTCTGTTGCTACTGCTCTGGGAACGTACAAGGGTATTTTTAAGGGGCTGAGAAGATGCCATCTTTGTTTTGTAGGTGTTGTAGAAAGGGTGGCTTTACTTCTTTGTTCTTTACCTAAAGCCTTCCCTGTAAACTTCAGCTTCTGTAATTTGGTCTTTTCCACTTGCTCAGACTGGTTTCCATTTCTTCTTCATTTGTTTTATGTCCGAAATACCCATAACTAGTTAATTAAGATCAGATGAGCTGGCTATTCTCAGCTGCTGAGATCATATTTAATATGATTTTATACTGGACAATACTTAACTATCAAAACCAAGTGCCCTATTTTATTAATCTTGTATTATGAGAGGATCTTGACCTCCAAGGTATTTGCCATCTCTCCTTAACTGTCTAGAGTATTCGAATTTATGCCATTCTCTTCAGATGTAAGTGCACAGGTTCATAGTCTGCATCTACTTGAGCTGGAGCTGTGCATAAGCCTTACTGGAAGAATGCCCTTATCTCTTAATATTTTGAAAAGGATAATTTGTGTCATTTTGTTAATTTCTTTTTTTTCCTGTTTTATTTTCCTGCCCAGTTCTCACAGTTCCTTTGCTGTCAGCAAGTATGTTTGCAACCCACTAGCAAAACATAGAGCTGTTTACATGAAGAATGCCAGTCTACTTCTGCTAATGATCGTTAGCTGAAAGGAAGAAAACCTAAGAGAACAACAGAATGAGTGTCAATGCATCTAGATGTGTCTACCTTTTCTCTTGTTTCCCTGTAAAAGCTTGTGTATAAAATCATTATCTAACTTGAGAAGTTGTAGCTAAAAGATGTTAGCATGGGGATTCTCCTTCTGCAGGCCTCCCGGTCAGCATGCATGATGTTGTGCAATCATAGTTACATTGTTGTTACTTCTAACACATTGGGTTTTATTTTTCAGTCGAAACAGAGCTGTGCAATGTGCAGCCTTTAGACTGTGTGCTCTTAGCTTATTTTGTTGTGGAAGCCCAGTGTGTTATTCAGATCAAATGTAACACAAGTCAGATTGCTTAAACTAAACTTCCATAGAAAATTACAACTATGTTCTCTGTTTTCTAAGTGCTTGGCAGAAGGAGCTCAACTAATTTGTTGGAAGTGCTGAGCAGTTACCGCTGCTATTTAGGCCGCTGGTACCTGTGCTTTAACCATATGAAGGGCTATATAATGTTAATGTACTGAAATCATATTGTACATCTCATGTTGGGTACCCAAGTTAGCAAATATTTTTCCTATATCTTAGTTAGAGGTCTGTAAAATAATTTCATTTCTCCTTATAGGACTGCTGTGAAACTAACATATTGGTGTATGTGAATTAGATGCTCTGGTAACAAAGAAGAGCTATAAAAAACTGTGAGGAAATTAATAATTCTTTCTCTAGTGCAGACCCTGATTAGCATATAGCAAATGAACCATGGGATCAGGCAGTTCTGTTTTACAGTAGTGTGTAGAGAGCAGTACTCCATTTTGTTAGGTAATAGACGCAAAAATTTGCTGTGAAAAATCTTGCTATAGCAGTTCAAGAGATTACTGCTTCTTTCTAAAATGTGCCTCTGCTAGAGACTTTTGTTGCTACAGGAGGGAGAGTAGACACAAAATCATGCTGGCCACTTGGCCACTGTGGTGGAAGTATGAAAAATGATGGGATGTGCAACCCCTGAATTGCCCCAGCAGACCTTCATCAGCCAGAGCCTGTAGATTACCCCACTCAGATAAATTCTGTTCTGTTAATTCTGTGTTTCAAAGCTTCTGGATAGTGGCAGATGTGAATGTATATATAAATGTATGCTTCCTTTAGAAAGCTGCAAAACATCATTAAACTGTTGAGAGAAATCCTATTTGCCAGGCATTTACTTTACAGAGCAGCTTTTTATCTCGAAGGAATTATGTTTATTCTAAGCTTGAGCAACTCACAGAACCAAAAGCAGAACAAAATTGTTGGCAAATTGCTAATGGGCAATGTGGAGGTTGTTATGCCTTGTTGTTATGCCTTTTTTCTCTTCTTAATTAGAGTCTGATAGCCACCTGTTTGAAATGGTCTCTTTGGGAACAAATGCTAATCTAAATGCTAAACTAAAAAAAGAAGGAAGCTAGCCAGCAGGAATTAGGTAATAATGGTGATAATTTTATTTTCTAGACTTGACTTTAACACATTTATTCTCAGATTATAGTTAAGATGCAACAAATTATCTTTCCAAGTAGGTTTAGTGCTGCACAAACTTACTGGTATTAAATACTGAAGGACCAAGACTGTCAGAATGAGGATTTGCTTTAGTACTGTGTCCTCCTCATTACATCAGACATGTATCTATTGGCAAAATAATAGTTCAGCATCGTCTGTAATGGAAGGGATCCTCTCCCAGGAGGGTGGGACAGGTTCTTTTGTCCCCTGCTGTTGCATGTAACTGCCTCATATGGTACCTCTTTGTAAACTCCATTTTTGAGTTGACTAGATTTTTGGTTCATAATACTCTGTGGAAAGACTCTTCAGTACCTCACTGCTTTGACTGTTAAAAGCATCACCAACAGTGGTTGCGCTGTATCTTGATTTTGGCAAATCTTGGGTGCCAGCTCAAATACCTTTCTTGTAAGAAAACTTGGGAAATATACAATCCATAGGGTTCCTGCACACCTTTTTAAACAGCGGCATATGCAGAAAAGTCACTGTTGAGTATACTGTCAGGCTGGGAAAGTACATCAATTGCAGACCCACAAAAATCTTATCCAGGTTTAGTTCTACTCAGTATTTTCATTCATGGCTTGGATGATGAAATAGAAGGTGAAATGCTGAAATTGTTAGATGACTACAGATTAGAAGAGCTTGCTTGCAAGAAGATTATTATTTGGAACAGAGGAATGGAATTTAAAGTGATCACACAAAAACCATGTCCAAATTATAAATACAGGAGGAAAAGGAACAGGTTAAAGTGCTGGGATTTTTTAGAGGATCATAGTCTGGACCTGACAGTGGGGAAAAAAAAAACAAACCAATGTCATCCTGGTATGTAATATGTGATATCCACTTAATTATTGCCCTCCTCAGGAACTTTGTTAGAATATGCTATTTTAGTGGCTGAGACCAAGCTTAAGGTGGAAATGCTTGACTGAACTCTTGCCCTGGTGCTGGGAAGCTTTCTTCATAAAGAACTGTAAGGAAAACAAACACAAAGGAAAAAAAAAATCTCCCATGTGAGAATGGCTGCTAACAGGCAATTTCAGAACAGGTTGACTTCTGTGCATGCAGGCATAGGGTCAAAAACACAACACTCCTGGCAGAAAAGGAAAGAGCCCTTCAGGGTACTAATCTGAAGTATGCTTCTGTCTGAAGAAAGTAGTCCTGTCCATTTAAATTCTTGTCAAGAGAGTGTAAAGCTGAAAGTGTCATCTGTATGTAGCCTGTTTCTGAAATTAGTTTCTATAAATGTTTCCTCTTACCATAACTGAATAGAGTCATAGGCATTCAAAGAGGAACAGCTTGAAGTGAATGCTGGGTAAGCTCAGTTGATGTGGAATATGCTACAGTCTAGGATGAGCTAGAAACAGGAATCTCTAAAGTTCCATGTCAGAAAGGGTACTTAAGTGAACATACAAAAATATTATGTTTAAGCTAGAAATAAAAAGCTAGTACTGTACAATCCGTGTATTTGGACCCTATGATATACTTTGTAAAGAGAGGCTTTCTAGAAAGGTACGAGAGAGGGAATCAAAAGATGTTTTAGAAAGATCTCTTTTTTTTTCTTTTTTAAAAGATAAAAGACGCTTTGCACCTATTTTCAAATATATCTTTATTTTCTTACAGATGGATACTTCTAAATGTCTTTGGCCTCCAATCTAATTTGTTCCTTAGCCATTTTTTAGGACTGGTTGTAACTTGAGCCCACCTTACACATGATTCTTTTCTGTACTCTGCCAGTTCTTTGGGCAGAGTGAAATGGCAGTAACAACAAAATGACTACCTGGACAGTTATAGATGGATACATATAAGTTCATATGTCTTTCAGAATTTTGGGAAGTACATCCTTGAAAAAAATATATACATCAGTGCTTGTGTGCTTTCCCTTGTGTTTATAAGCCCATCACTTATTAACAATAACTTGGTTTTGATGGTGGAAAAAATGTAACATAAACCAAAATGGTGATAATAATTTCCTGTTAAACATTTTGCTTCTCCCCTCTTGTGACAGGTACTATGATGCTGGAACTTCAGGAGAGGGTAACAGAACTGGAAAACTGGAAAGATGGCAAAGGCCTTATTATCTATGGTGCAGGAAACACCTTTTGCTCAGGATCTGATTTGAATGTTGTCAAAGCCCTATCCAACTCCCAGGCAAGTAGTGATACAAACTAATTTTTTTGAGAAAAATAAGCTTTCTGATATTCTGAGATCCTTTTCAGAAAGAGGTGTTGCACTACGCTGCTGCTGCTATTTTACATGGAAGTCACAGAATGGAGCTTTTAATGGTTGAAAAAAATGCTGGCAGCCCCTCTAAGCCATGGCTTAAGTGTTATTGTAATTGATTCATAACTCTGAATTCCTACATTATATATTCTTTTTAGCCTTTTAAAAGTATCATTTCAGTTTCTCAGAGCAGCGTATGGTGAATTCACACATAAGATAAGCTGTGCTTCAGTAGTTTGACCTTTAGCTGCAGATACAAGTAATCATTTCTCATATATTGTTAAGTCAAAACCAAATTTAAGTAGCGTGGCTGCTGTTACAGAAAGGTTTGAATTTTGTCAAAACTGCACTTGGACCTGCATAAAATGGAAGGAGAGATGCAATTCTTGTGCTGTAGTTCAGTCAGGTGTGTTATGTGTGTTACTGTGGGGTTGAAGAGGTCAGGCTTTGATGGCAATTTTTCACTCATGACACCCATCTTGACAACTTTGACATGTGCTGCAGTTCTTTTTATGGGTTAATATGTGGTTCTTGGCAACATCTGAAATAGGACTTTATCAACTGCAGGGAAAAGGTGTCTTCTTGTGCTGCTCTTACATCCTGGTTTGTCATTGTGGAAACTGGCATCCTGGTGCATTTCTGTGACCAGTTTCAGGATTTAAACACACAGCTCGATTGAACCTTCCAGTAAGAGCACCAACTCAAAACTGATTAATCTGGTATTTTGTCTTTGGTGATGATTTGTTTCTGTTGATGAAACTAAATATCATAGAAGTCGCAATGTCTTAAATATTTATGACCTGATTAAAATAAATCAGATGGTCCAGTTTTCAGAAGGTATAGGAGGCTTTGTTTCCTTCGTGGAACATCGTAAGAGGGATGCTTTTCTTAATGTGGAGATACTATGCTTTATAGATATAAATGGGGAGTTTTCATTTGGATTCTATATAGGCACGGTTATTTAAAAAGTATAAATGCATCTGTGATTTTGGTTTTGTGTTGTTTTGGGTTTTTTGTTTTTTGTTTGTTTGGTTGGTTTTTTTTTTGTGTGTGTGGTTTTGTTGTTCTGGGTTGTTTGTTTTTTTTTTTTTTAATCTGAAGTTTTCAGCTTATTTTAGAATTATAGTAACAGAAAGGAGCTGCATTCAAGCATGGGGCCAATTCTTACCTGCAGTCTAGGCTTCCCTTCAGACTTCTGCATTCAGTAATTTTCAGTGATTCTGCTTCCTTACTCTCTTTGACATTTGGTGTTCTGTCTGTATGTTTATACAAATTACTTGGAACCACTGCAGTGGCAGAGAGGGGTCTTGTAAGGATTAGGGTCCATAACAGATGTACTGGGCAGAATGAAGTGTATAGGTATTAAAAATAACTTTGTTGAAAATTCTTTTCAAAGAATCCAAATCTCATGCTAGTACTGAGAGTGTAAAAGTCAACAAAAATGTTCCAAGAATAGTTAAACTGTTGCTTTCTACTTCCTTAGGAGAGTTTAAACTATTTATTCTGAACTGAAAGTTTACTTACACTAGCCAACTCTTAAAACATTTGTTTGGTGGGATTTAATGATCTTTACTAAGTAAAATTTTCATAGAATAAGGAATAGCATTTGCTGTCCTTTAGTCCTACAGAGCACTGCTCTCTAACTTGCTTCAGTTGAGAGAGTTTTGTCTGCTTTCAGGTTAAAAGAGCGTTAGGTTAAGTTTTCTGTTCACAGGCATCCCTAAGGCAAAAAAAAAAAACACCTAAAACCAAAACCACAAGTTAATAGCTTTGTGCCTGAACTGTTACTCTTTTCCCTTATTTTTATGCAAGGCTACTTTAGCTCATAGCTTTTAGTAATTACAGAAAACACCTTTATTTTATTCAACCAATTGTTTGAGGTAAGATTATATTTTTCATAATCTGCAATAGCTTGTCCTTCCCTGTAAAGGCAGGGAATAATGGCCAAGGCAGAGAATAAAGGAAAGGCAGAATAATGGCCAAGAATGCTGAAGGATTTTCATGCCCCCTAGTGGCTCTTCGTCCTCCTCTTCCTCTTTGTCCTCTTCATCCTCCTCCCATGTTCAGTTGTTCCTAACCCTGAAACAAACCCAGGTCCTCCGCCTGATTTTCTTTGGTGAGTGCTAACATTATGTGACCAAATCACAGAACACAAATTAATAGTGGACTTTTAATTTTTATTTTTTTTTACTATGTATATATTTCTTTCTGTCTTTCTAAGCCTGGCTCTCAAGAGCAATAACCTCTTTCTGGAGTGAGACTTGAAAAGCTATCTAGCTGAAAAGCAGGAGAGGCTCTTGAAAGGACAGCTGAAAAGGAAGAGGCATAAAGGAGAATTTCACTTTCCTGGGTCTAGAAGCCCTAGGACTTTGCAAGCAGGAAGCCACAGAGGGTGGCCTTTTGAGCAGTTGGAGATGATCTGGAAATGCTGTACTGTCTGCAGTAAAAATGGACTCGAAGCTCTTGCAGCAAAAAGAGCTAGAAGTATAGTTTTCTACTTTATGAAGGTGACTTTCCTGTTCCCTGCTTCCCCTAGCCCCAGTGCAAACTATTAATCCTTTTCTTCCAAGTGCAGTGCATACTGTATTTTACCTCAGTTTCTGCTTATTAGATTTCTTCTTACTCCAAGGATGGTATTAGAACTGAAAATGTGATTATTCCACTAGACTCCAGTGAGCACCTCTCTTATTCAGATAAAATACTTATCAGGAAGGTTTGAAGGGTATGTTGGCCAGAGCTCAAGTAATTGTGATTTATTTTTTTCAGAGTGCTTTCTGTGCCGGCATTTTTCCCATGCAATACACAGTAATCTCTCTACCACATGAGAATATTAAGATCTTTCTTTTTGTTTGTTCAGTTATAACTGCATTTATTAAACTGGTCTGTTCTGGCATTAATCTTTAATTACCATTTTGGATTTTGGTATGAATTGAGATGGCCAATTTGAATGCAAGGACTCTGATGTGATGAAATGAAAAATTATTTTCTCTGAAGAGCTTTTTTGCAGCTTCATCCTCATGGTTATAGTATGGAAATTGCACATGCCCATGTCCAAGAGGTGGTATCTTGTATGTTTGTGTGGGTTTTTGACTCAGTTGTTAAGACAGCTGTCATGGAGGATTTGATTGTTCTTTAATTTGGAATGGAAATATTGCTACTAGTCCCAATGGTTGTAGGAGATGGCTACAGTGATAACTAAAAGCTTCTCTGTAAATCAATGTGTGCTGGAATTTTCAAGCAGGCCTTTAACGTAATGAAACTGAATTCACTGGTTCCTGAGTAGCGACTGTTGTGGCAGCTTCAGTCTGCCAGAGATCTGTCCCTGGACATCATATTGCTGGTTGGTGTTACGTAGAGTAGGTCTTGGGAACACATGACTAATGACAATAAATCAGTTGAAGTTGACTTACTATTATTTCAAGGTCCTATTCCATGATGTACTGAAGACTTACTGCGTATTTTTTCTTTCACTGAGGTATGAGTCAGGAGCTTTTACCTAAAACATATTCTTTACCTTAACAACCCCTGTAAAACTGCGTTTTAGAAATCAGTAAATGTCAGTCGAGATGTTTCTCTGTTCTTTTTCTTGCTGCCAATAATTAAGGGGGGAGGGGGTGTGTATGTGTTTTTTTTTCAGTTGAGGGTTTTGAGGTTTTCATTTGGTTTTTTGAAAGAAATGCTGAAATTGGTATTGACTAGGAGCTTTTGCTTCTACAGTGTCCAAACATATATATATTTAATCTGGATTAGATGGCACATGTATAGTTCCGTATGTATATGAACATGGCCATACTGGGTCATTTAGCCCAGTCATTTGTCAAGTTCCTGGTTTATACTAGATGTCTGAGAAAGAATATAAGAACAGGGAAGGGAGATAGAGAATAATTTTTCTTGAAAATACTCTCTTAGTCGCAGCAATTTGTGACTAAGACATCTGGAGCCAAAGGTTTTACCTTGTATTTAATAACCTTTTGTCAGTTTTTCTGTCTTGACTGTATCTAGTTGTTCTTGAATTGATATAGGTTGTAATGCGTTGCTGCAAAGTGCCACTGTTTAACTGCCTGTTGTATGAAGAAATACAGCAACTGGTTTTATTTGAAGCCCCTTAGTTCTTGTACTAGAAGAGAACAATTGTAGCCTATTCATTATTGTTTGCAAGCTGACATAAAACATAGAGGAGCGAAATAAGAAGAATCTTCTTTCTGTTTTCTGTTTTGGTTTGGGTTTTTGTTTGCTTTTTCTGAAATGTTGTTAGCCAAAACTAGAAAAAGGGAAGTTGGGAAATTGATAAATTGTATATTGTCTAAAACTTTGTGGATTTGGAACAGGAAAAGGTATGCAAAGCTCTGTAGTCCTACACAGACTTTTAAAGCTCAACTTTATGGGTGTTTAACTGGGAGTAAGAAGAGGAAATTATGTACATTTTCACATAATGGGAATTCAGTATTGCAATTACTTTAGCTGTGGTTTAATTATAACTGAAGTTCACATAAATTGATTGAGTTCTGAATTTTTTTATTTTTTTTTCTCACCAGATTGAGACCAGGTTTTCTGTTTGTACGTAGTGGGGTTGGGCTGGAATTCAGGCAATATTAACCACATCAGGGTCACTTAACATGTTTTAATTTCCTATTCTTTGTAGGATGGGATGAATATGTGCATGTTTATGCAAAACACCTTAACCAGACTTATGAGGTAATATATTTTATTTACCCTTCTTTATGAATTAATTATAATTATTGGAATACATGTTGGCTAACTCTTTAATATTATGTTTAAATTTAAATACATAGTTTCAAGTATGTAATTTTGAATCCCAGACCTTGTATTTACACGTTAGTCAGGTAGGCATTTATGGATTTAAATTAGGCCTTGACATTTTGCAACTTAATAGTTAATAACTTAATTAATAAATAGCTTAATAGACTTGCCAGAGACTGGAACAGAAAAAGACCCCTATAGGTTTATATGTGGAGGGTCAGGATATACATAGAGTTAAGCAAGTGTAGGCCTTCAGTATTTCTAAAGCTATATTCTGTAACTCAGTGGAAATCAGTAGCTCTTAAAAAACAGCCAGGGCCAGCTCATGCAGCCTACGCAGGTAACATTTATTTAATATATTTATTTAATCTTCCCACTTCATAAGAGGAATGTATTCAGTTCTACCATCTGGTACTTCTGAAAAACACTTTTTTCTTTCCTTTAGATTTAGCTTCCCTTAAGAAATAACATTTCTATTAAATCCATGTGTGGTACAGTTTGTCTTTTTTGCTGCTCAGAGCTCTTTGAAGATAAATATTCTTTGTTTTCAAATAATCTATATGAGAAAGTGTTATGAATTAACATTATGCTGTAAAACTGTGCAGGAGATTGGAGACTTAATGGTACTAGTTTTTTAAGGAATCCTCAGGATTAGAATCCATTTGTATAAATTGGTCTCTGTATAATCAGAGTTCATGGGGCAAACCAAAGAGGACCAAGATGCCTGAAGATTAAGCCCTTACCAGAGGTGGTTTGACTTAGAGTACATTAAAGCTACAGTTCATAGGGAGCACTGAATTGCTGTCTGGGGACATTTATTGTTGATGGGACCAGTCTGCCTCAGGGAGAGCCGAGGCTGATATATGGTCCTTAAGAGGATCAGCCTGTGGATGGGGGGGACTTGGACCCATATCTTCTGGTTCCCCATAGTCCACATTAAAAATGAGGTTACTCTCTTCCAGTGGGTTTACTTGTGCCATGTATTGTATGAAGTGTACTGCAGCTGGTAAGTGAACAAAACAGCTGTATGGGCATGCAAATTCTGGGACTAACTAATTGTCTTAATTTCTTAAGGAATTTACCTTATCATCTGAAGTCAGTCACTGTTCATTAGTATTCATTACACAATGGCAGTAGGGAAAGTGGTTCTCCCTACATATTCTTCCTTCCTTCTGTCCTTTAAATTACCTTGAACATGATAAAATACAACACCATCAAAGGTAACTTACTGCTGCTATCCTCAAAGGATGGATTTGTCCTCCAAAAGAAAAGTTTTGTTGATGACTGAAATGGTAGTGCTGTTTGAAGAAATTCCTGAAGATGTCATGCTAAATCTCATTATTTTTTAGATAACCCAGCCCTACAGTTCTTTGTGTCCCTTTCTACTATTTTCTGTAGTGTACTGACTTAGAGTCTTGTCACTCCTTCTTGCAAATAGTCTTTTTTGGTATAATCTATAGCAGGTATTTTTCATAACACAGTACTTGATCTTCTTTACTTTGATTCTATTTAATACATCTGTCTTACTGTTTCATTTTGGGATTCCATACCAATTACAGAAGACTCATTTTGGCATAACTGGAATTGGTATTGTGCTGCTTAGCCACAAAGATGTAGTTATTTAAATGAATTTGAACAGTGTATTTTTCTGAACTTTTACTATAGAGATGGTTTGCTTGAATTCTTCTGTCATTTGTAAAGGACTAAAAGCATGAATTTTGCTTGCAAAACTCTCTTGTGTAGATTGCCTTTGATCAGTGTTGCACTAGTCCAAGGAAAAGCTATTGGAGGAGGAGCAGAGCTTACCACGGCATGTGATTTCAGGTAATATCACCAATTTGAGTAGTTGCCATTTTGGACCATAGATTTGATAACTGTACCTATGAAATGTGGGGAGCTTGAGCTACCACTTTTACCAGGATTCATGTACCTGAATTCCAAGGCATTTGGAACTGGGCTTTGTCAGCAGACTTCACAGGGAAAAAGGAATTTTGGGTTTGCTGATAGTGCAGAGGAAAGAGTATTTGCTGCCAAGTTATACAGTTTGAATCACTGTGTAAAACAAAAGCAGTAAGGAATTTTAGCAGCCAGCTGTGTTATATACCAAGTAGGTCCAGCCTCTCACCCCTGAATGAGAGGCAAGAGGACTACAAAATTGTATACCCCCTTATTTCTTTATGTGGCTGACATAAGTAAAAATAAATACATAAACCTCTCCATTAGTCTGGTATTTTGTGTTCTAGGTTTATTATTTGTAACATAACTTTGTGCTGTACAGTTTTTCAAGCGAGTTCAAGGTGCAGAGGAAAGCAAATGAGTTCTGTTCCTATTCTTTTTCCATGCAGGTGCAGGGATTTGCCACCAACTAGCAAAAACCAGAGGGCTTTAATTAAAGAGGCTGAATGCAGAACAGGAACTGGAAGAAACTGAAACAATAAAATGTCACTTTATTTAAACAGTTGCTAATGTGCAAACAGCCTGCAGATGTAATAGGATAAGCACTGTGTGCAGCCTTTCTGAAAATGAGGAGGTTTTAGTGAACTTTTTATGCAAGAGAAGGAAATGTGCTCTTTAAGACGGCCTTGGTGCCTGAAGTGAGAGATAAGTTGTCCAGGACAAGCTCAAAGTACTTACACAAAAGTAATGTGAAGCAAAGTAAACTAGAATATTACAGCGCTGTTCCAGGAGTCAGGAACAGGCTTTGGATAGAGGAGATGGTATCTGTGTTGTCTGAGCCACTTGGAAGCAATCTTCCTTTACTTTGAAACTAGATGTGGCCAGATCTTTCTTCATATCTACACATCTGAAACCCCAGCTCTGACTGTGGCCTCTGAGTACAGTTTGTATTATAAATGCCTAGTAAACATGCAGAGAGGTACTGTGTTTGACAGCTGTGGCACTGACAGGAGAATACACCTGGGAGACTTAGTAGACCTTTCTGTATCTGTGAGTCTATTGACAGAAAGAGAATCTTGTTATCCCTAAACAGGAGTTTAGGGGATGTGAACATAATGAAATGGAAATCTTTTGGTTTTCTAAAATACATAGTCTCTACTTTTACTCCAGCTATGCTGTTTGACATACTGTGTAATTATAGTCACTGTCAAGTAGCTCTTATTTGCATGAATTGAGCAGCTGCCGTTCCTCTGATGTACTGCCATAATTTTCATTATAGCTACAGCTGTTGATGCATCTTTGATTACTTTCTAACACACCCATCCAGTGCAACTAAATAATAGCAATTCAGGAGGAGCAAATGGGACTTAATTAATAACAGCAACAAGATAGAGAAACATAATCTGTGCTGCTGTTGCTGTTGTTGCTCCAATTATTTGAGAATTTTAATACTGGGGGACAAAATGTGTTTTTTTGGGGGACTATGAGTGGATATTAATGGAACAGGTATTCTTCCCTGATTCTCTAGATGCCAAAAGAGGAACTTCAGAACAGAAATCGTGAAGTTTGTTTTCTTCCTTGAATCAATTGTTTGGATATTTTATTTTATTAAGACCAAAGTGAGTTATGGCTGGTTTTAATTCTAAATTTTCAAATCCATTTCTGTTTTTCATAGTTACAGTGTAAACTACCAAACTTCTTGGCATTGGCCTAAAATATTTTCTTATTTTTATCTTTGCCAGTTTATACTACATTAACTATACAGATATCGTTGAAGTGACTCATTGGAACCAAGTGGCTTATGTACCTTCTCTGAAATGTGCTCTTGCAGCATGATGCACATCTCTGCTAATGCAGAGGTGTGGACAAGTCCAATTTTAAAATAGCTGGGTTGGTTTAAGATATTACTGATCTGTTCTTCCAGAGGCAGTTCTTGTGGTTAATTGTCTCCTACTCTGTTTTAAAACAGCTCATTTAAAATTGGATTAGGGAGGGCTTGCATGAACTCTGGCAGATTTATTGCTGACATAAGAACAGTGATGAAAAGTGAAAGCCTCTTAGGTTGCTCACCTTTGATCTGGGAGAAGAGGTCTTCTCAGAACATCTTATTGAATCTTAGCTGCTTTATGGATTGTTGCAGTATGACTCTCTGTAAAAGCAACATCCTTATAAAGATTATAAACACGTGACTGGGGTGGTGGTGGGTGAAATTATTGTCCAGAGAAGGGCAAGGTAAAAACCCTTTCAGACTTTCTGTGGTATGAATACTGGGAAGATAAGACTTCTGACACTGTAATAATTTATCTCAATTATTTCTGTAAAACTGAATAATGTAAAACCATGCAGGTATGAAACTTGTTTGGACATCTGAGCCTTTTACTACAGTTTCTCATTAAGCCTAGGCTTTTTTTTCAGTATGCCACAGCTGAATATTCTCTCTGAGACTGTGAAGATGGCTCCTGGGTTCTTCTGCCAAATATGTGTATGTTGTGGTTCTTCATGACACTTCAGCCATTTCAGTGACATGCACAAATGAATCAGTGATGCAATTTTACAAATTATTGAAATGAAGTACCTATTCTGAGTTCCCTGTATGCAGAAACTTGAAGTGTATCTTGTACTTACACAACGCATAAAATTAAGGAGAACTGACTTGGCAGGATTGGTTAAGGAATTTGGACAATTGTAGTGGGTTGTTGGGCAATAAACTAACAGATATGGGGCAGAGATGGTTTGGTAATGAATCCATTTGTGCAATTAGTAGATCACAGTAATTTCTGAGGACGGTATCTGCAGTGGACTACCAGCAAATAGCCAAGAAGACTAACTTTGATTCTGAGTTGTTTTGTCTTCTATTTCACGTTGGTGCCTTTGAGAAAACTCCCTGAGGCAGTGTCTGTGTAAATCTTTTAGATACATCTATAACTTTGAAAATCTGGTCCTATGCCACTTGGCAAATGGACTTCCATTGTATCTGAATGCTGCTGAAAAATATAGTCTCTTCCCCACTACCCTTTTTTTGCTTCCTAATGCTACTGGAGTCAAAATAGAGGTGTGTCACTACCGAATGAATCTAGTTTAAAAGGTGGCCTCTCAAGGCAGAGGATGAGAGTGAAAAGATGGAAAGCTACCCATTTCTATGACTACTGACCTCAAAAGTGCTCATAGGTAGAGGCAGCAGTATTCTCCTTTTCCTTTTTTTTTTCATTTTTTTCAAAATAAATAAATCTCCTATTTCTTCAGTTAATATTGCACACTTAAATCACAAAAAGCCAATTTCATTACTCTTGTTAGTGCTGAGCAGTATCCTACCTCATAAAAAGTGCCATTGATTTAAAGAGGTATTTGCTTTCTGAGCAATCTTCTGCCCTGTGTCTGTAGGAATGGCAGAATCAAGCTTTTAAAAAGGGAAGAAGCTTATGCTAATAACACTGCATTTATCAAATTGCCCTTGCTGCATTTTAATTGGATGTTTTCTGTATTTTTTTGTGAAATATGTATGCATGCTTAGTATTTCATTTTAAGGTCTCAGGCTTGTTCCATAAAATGCATAAGAGATACAATGAAATTCACTGCTGGCAAATAGCTTTTGGGGTGTGTGTTCTTGTTGTGACTTGTGTTTATTTACTTTTACAAGAGTGTGTTTAATGCATTAAGTGTAATTTATATGAAATGAAAGGAGTAGAAGATGGTATAACCACTACATAGAATAGATCTAGGCTCACTATGACTTCTCATTTGTTGCTTCTTTCAACAACAAAAAGAGTGGGGAGAAGCTGGAAACACCTTACTATTTTACAGTAAGCTTTTCCTTATGGAAATAGGTTTCAGAGTGTCAGAGCACAAAACACCAGCTTCTTTGGAAATATTTCACTGTATGCAAGGCTTTGGGCTTTTAGTTTATCAGGAAGAGCTTTTAGGTACACAAGATGCTGCTGTTTGAAATAAAGGTGCCTCAGTACATAGTAGCTCTTTTCACTGGACAGAGCATGATATGAATGTAATGGGATGGGTTTCACATTTTCATGAGTTCTTGCAAAGTCCAGGCTGACAAAGCACTTTTCATTGGATGTGACTCTGTAACATTGCTGTGCATCGTCAGAAAAGAATCAGCGGCTGAATCTGAGAGTGGGTTCTCTCAGCTTCAGGTGTTTGCTATATGCCACAGATCACTTAGCTATATAAAATTTTCCTCTCTATGTATATGTGTGTGTGTGCATGTAAAACCTCCTTCAAATCAGTTGACAGTTTTAGAATTCCATTGCAGTCATGCATCACTTCACGTTTTTAGAGCCATGGGAGTTTTGTTAGTACAATTTTCTAACGAATTTTCAGAGGTGGATTATAGTTTTAAAAGTTTCACAGTGCCTGCCTTTAAGAAGGCTGTTCTGATTTTCGACCTAGCACACTTGATGTCTGCTTAAGTAATCACAGCACTGCTAGAAATGGACTTGAGAGCTTGTATTTTTGGGTTTGTTTTTATGGCCTGTTTTTTTTTTTTTCCTTTATTACCAGTTTTCATTTGGGTTTGAATTTCATGGGTTCACAATCTTCCAGGCAGAAGATTTTTTATGTAGTCCACAGTTCAAATTTACCACTGTTTGACTTTACTGGAAATGTAAATAACAGCAACATAGCCTGAATTGGAGTTGACGTTTTTTTCTGGGGTTGTCTTTTTGTAGGGATTTATTTCATTCTAAGTTAGTTTTTTTCCTTTGGGAGGCCAAACCATCTTATCCTAGGTGAATGAGATTTTTGTTATCAGCATGTGTCTACATTTTAGACCACTTCTACCATGCAATCTTATGTCCTTTCTGTTGAACGATCCTGTCTGCAGCTGATTCTGTGCTGCACAGGAATAATAAACAAAGATAATGGAAAACTTAGATAAGATGGATTTTAGGGAATGCAGAGCTGGACCCATGCTG